TCCACGAGGCCCCGCCTTCCGGAGCCCCCACCTCCCTCCACGAGGCCACGCCTTCCGGAGCCCCCACCTCCTCCATGAGGCCACGCCTTCCGGAAAGGGTTGCGGGAGAGAAGGAAGGCCAGGCGGCGCCGGAGAAGCTAAAAGGGGCGGAATTGGAGGAAAATGACAATAAATTGCATTTATATAGCCTTTTATCACCTTATAAATCACACTCACGTACGTTGATCACATAATTATAAACACCGAGGGCTTGGCTAGACTCACAGATGGGCTACAGTTGGGCCTGTTGCCCACCCTAGGGTCCTCCCAAACCCAGCCGGTGTGTCCTTGCACCGGCAGGGAAATGACCTGGCGAGGATCCTGGGCCTGCCGGACCCTTGGGCAACTCCCCCTGCTGAGCCCCCGAGGCCTCCGATGTAAATGAGATGTGGGCCTCATGGTCTCTCAGGACCCTTCAGTGCTAGCAATCTGATCCTCAAACTAAAGAGACTACCGACGTTGGCCGTCGGAAAAAGAGTCCAGAGGCCACCTTAGCTGGTGGCCTTGGGCTGGGAGCTACCTTCCTTGCCGGCCACGGGCCCCTGGCATTGAGAAACGCAAGAACCCCCCGTTCTGCCCCGGCCACTGCTGGCCCTCCTTCACCGGAGCGCAGGTAGGGCTGGTCCCACGCCCGAATCTGAATCACCTGTCCCAGAAAGTCTTCGCCAGCGCCCCCCGGAGGTCATGCACGCTGCGCGACACCCTGCCCACTGCATTCCTTCACCTCTACGCCCAGCGCTCAGTAGCAACTGCTGAGGCCTGGCGGCGGGCCAGGCGCGGCGGGACCGTGATCTCAGCCCTTAACACAGCTAGCCTCCCCACCCCCACCCCCGCCCCGCCGCCCAGCACAGCAGCCAACAACCTGCGACCGTGGAGGGAGGGAGCCCTCTGGGGTCATCTGTCCTACCAGCAGCTCCAGGCACTGTCCCTCTCACGGTTTGAGATCTGTTTTTGTAGATCCCCTGAGGGACAGATTCTTCTTTCAGTGTTTGATGTTCTGCAGGCTTAGCACTCTTCTCCTCCAATCCACATGCTTCTCCGCTCCCTCCCCCCCCTCCCGCCCCCCCCCCCCCCCCGACTGCCTCTGCTGGCCGCGGCGGCGGCCTGTCCACCGGGCTGTCTACACTGGTTGGGTTAGGGTTAGGGTTTCTGACAGCCCGAGGGAACCGGTCTGACTCGCACATAATTTGCACAACCAAACCTAATTTGCACAACACTGAGCATCATTATCCACTCAACTACACAAGCCAGAAGCCTTGGAGCCTGTCTAAAACCTCCTCTACCTTTGCTTGTCACGCCACGTGTCACCTTGTCTTCTCCCACCTTCTCTGACCTCGATTAGCACAGTACCCTCCTACCTGAGCTGTCCTGCTTCCTGCAGTCTCCTCTCCTCCCCTCCCTCCTGCCTCCTCTGACTCTTCTGAAGGGAGGCTGGCAAGGAGGCTCGAGAAAACAGTGGTGTCTCCAGGGAAGGGAACCCAGGAAAAGGTGGGGACGGTAGAAGGGAAACCCTATTTTCAGGGCACCTTTTACATTTTTTTCTCCTGTGCATGTATATTACCTATTCTGGTTTTTAAATCAACATTTAAAAAAAATGTTTATTTATTTTTGAGAGAGAGGGCACGGAGGAGGGGCAGAGAGAGAGGAAGACACAGAATCGGAGGCAGGCTCCAGGCTCTGAGCTGTCAGCACAGAGCCCGATGCGGGGGCTCGAACCCACAAACCGTGAGATCATGACCCGGGCGGAAGTCGGACACTTAACGGACTGAGCCACCCAGGTGCCCTGACATTTAAATATAATAAACAACAGGAAACTTCTACCAGCTTCCCACTGCCTACAGGCTGAAGTTCCATCCCTCAGCCTAGAAGGTCATGAAATCATGACCCAAAGCGATACGGTTGCCTTTTATGCTGCATCTGGCCTCACCTTGCTGTCCAGCCACGTTGGGTCACAGGCCATTCTCCTACAGCACCCACATCCCTCTGGGTTTTTCTACACGCTGTTCCCTCTGGATGGAATGTTCCATCCTTTTCCCACTGCTGGAAAACTCAACGGATCCTTTAGAACCAACTCGGGCATCAGGTCCACTGGGAAGACCCCTCCCTTAGATGGGATTATCTGACTCCTTGTGTGTATATAACACCCCCTCCGTGCTCCCGCTGCACGGCTTCCATGCTGAAAGACGCTTGTGCGTTTACACAACCCTCCACAACAGAGTTACGACATTTTTGGGGTCAGCATTATGTTTTACTCTTTAATTAATCCTACATTGATCAAATACCACTTACTACCACTTAAATTTGTGTTCTTTGCTGGGACGCCTGGGTGGCTCAGTTGGTTAAGTGTCTGACTTTGGCTCAGGTCATGATCTCATGGTTCGTGAGTTTGAGCCGCACATCAGGCTCTCTACTGTCAGTACAGAACCCACTTCAGATCTTCTGTCCCCCTCTCTCTCTGAGCCTCCCCACTTGCATTGTCTCTCAAAAATAAAT